AACAGGATTTCCTAAAGAATACGGAGGAGAAGAGCGAAAGATGCAAATTAATCGCGCGATTGTGCGTTTTCCTAGCGTCACTTCTAGTTCCCCAAGCGTGCGTGCTATTTACTTCTGTGCCTCGTCCAGCTTGCTGCAGATGTATTGCAGGATCGGCAAGGCCTCGTTGAAGCATGAAACGCCTCTCTCGCGTACATTCTTGTTCCGCTTCGCGTTCTCGTCCATCTCCTGGCACTCCTCGTCTGCGAGCAATATGCAAACGAGCGTCATCGGACAATGACGCATTGAAATGGCACACATCGGCGATGCGTTCGCGACATATAGCGAGCAACGGTCGTTAGGACGCCTCGCCGATGGCATTCTCTTCGAGTCGCATTCCGCCGGCACGCGATCTCGTAATTTATCGACCAAACATTCTGACATACCGCGGCAGAAGCCGTCGCCGTCGCCGTGCATCAAGGCGATGCGCATCGCCGACGCGACCGGTGATTTCTATTACTCTTTTCGTCTTTCTCCCTATCTTCCTTGTTCTAATTTCCCGCCCGGATTTCCGCGATTACCTAAAAAGAGACAAAACGATCGCAAGGTCTGGCTGGTCGCCGCCTGCGCGGCCGTGCGCACCGCTTGATTCCCATTCTCGAAGGCCTCGCAACACGTGGTCAGGATCGCGATGATCAGCCGGCCGTTCATGGTCCAGTAAGAGGAACAGGCGACTTGCAGCAGGACCTGGAAAGGATACGAACGATCGAAATCGGCCACATTTCTACGCGTCTGTGATTTTACCGCGAGGGCTGAAAACGAGGGAAAGATATACCCAACTTCTGCAGGCCCGATTATTAATCCCGCAATTACTATCTCCCGTCGGTTTCTCGCTTTTAGATCGATCGTTTTAGATTACCGGTGACCATCAGACTCACTTTGAGCATGTCCGTTTGCGTGTCGTCGGACTGCGAGACGATGGAGCTCATGGCGTGCAGCATTTGCGCCGGCAGCCATAGAGAGTCGTCTTCAGGCTCATAAGGCGACTGGAACCTGTCGTCCCTCAACATTTTCTGCGAATTTCATTTCCCGCGTTATTTCTAACCCTCTAACGGCAAGATGGATTTTTGACACATCGAAGAAAATGGGGCTGAATCCGACGCCATGTTCTGTTTTGGCCATTTTTATGTAATCAATGCACAAAATGGATAGAAAAAGTAAATAATAACATGATTCCTTGAGAAGGGAAACGTGCACGCTATAAAATAAACGAAACCGCGGGGTCAATCTGACCCCACATTACCGTTACAGGGTTAATCGCCTAGTAAGCAAGAGATCATTAACACAATGTTATTACAATGATATTTTGTAACATTTTCAAATATATAATATTATATTCAACGTCATCGTTAACGACATTTGATCCAAATATTAAGAATAACACTTCTACGCTGTGATTTTGAAAAATTCAGAGATATTTCCAGCAAACACGAAATAACATAACTCAGTTATAACTTCCCCCTCAACCATGTAAATGCAATATAGCACTCGTGTTATATTACAAAGTAACAGTTTAAAAACATTTACAAAATGTTGCGTCAAAATGTCTATAAAATCCCAATAAAATTCGTGTTTCGAAAGATTAATTTAACGTTTCTTGCTTAAGAGGACAGAACAAATTAACACGTGACGTTGTAATCAAAATAAAAGAAACGTATATTCACGGGTCGGACTAACGTTCCGATCGCGCATCGATCGATTGCCGTGATTGACGTCTCCACGCAAAAATATTCGAGCTTCGCAAGAGCGCGCGCGAGAGTCACGTAGGGAAGAACTCCTCGTGTTCGCAATCGACGCTCATTATAAGTCGCCCGACACATCGACGAAACTTGGCTTAAACTGTCGCAGCTGTTCGCCGGTATCTCTCGCTTTATCGCACACGGTTCCGGAACATACGTGTTTCCACGAGTGGTCACACCGATGCCGACCACACGTAGGCGGAGAAACGGTTTGAAGATAAAGAGCGCGACATTTTCCCTTCCTTCGCGCGTCGCGACTTACTCGCGCAAAAATACCAACGCAAAGCTGAAAACGGAGTTTTTCCGGCCGGGCGACGGAATGTTTTTCTTTTATATTTTCTTTAATCTTTGTCGTTTTACTCACGTGCAATCCCGAGAGTCCGAAAGCGACGAACTTGCTCCGGTTGGTCTCCAGTGCTAGCTGAAACGTATGTAGGCATTTCGCGCGCAGTTCGTGAGGCGGGTCTCGCAGCAAGCCCTGCTGCTTCTCCAGGAAATCTGCAAGAAAGCGGTATCATCCCCTTAACACGAAACCCCCGTGTGATCGTCGCCTTATGGATCGTTTCCGATACATCCGGTATATATGCTCAAACAGCACGATGTAACACCGAGACGCTAAATATATAATTACATTAACGTCATTGTTATGCTGCGTCACATTCATACATTAGTACACGTTTCCAGATGGACGTATGCGTGATTTTTGAAAATGACGGTGAAATTTCCAGACCATACGGTCGAATTATACGATACACTTTTACGATTTACAATGCGCAATGAAATCTAACGTGAGGGATCGACCAGCGAGCATGCTCGACGTCTTCAGGAAGAGGCAACCACAAGCGGCGAGTTTAGTACGTAAAATGTCGAATTAAAAAAATTGCAAACACAAATCTAATTGTCGAAGGTGCGGTGTGTGCTTACCGTGCGCTTCCTGCGCCGATTTTCGTAAATTTTGTAGCCTCGCATTGTTCGACTCCCTGACGATCTGCAGCAGGAGATCCTCCATGACACGACGGGCTACCACCGCTACCACGCGACTGATCGATAACGGGAGTGCCGACACACGCTTCGTTATACGCACGTCCTCAGGAGCGTAAAACGAGTCTCCCTTCGGAAAACCGGCGCGTTTGTTGAGAATAATCGGGCAAAATGATTACAACGGTAATTACGGCGAGAACGTTAGTCAGAAATCAGAACGAAAAGTAAGGATTTATGGTGTTACCTACGTTTGTTTTTATTTTTTAATAAACATACGCTCCTAAATAAACGTGGTTTACAAATTTAAACCCCCATAAGTGGGCCAATTTGTGCGCAGTTTGCGAAAATCTAAATATAAATGGTATAAATGAACACATGTGCAAGATTTTTATACTTTTTCATTAAGAACTAGAACTTCTTTGGAACCTCGCGTTATCCTATAAATGTATGATGTTATTATTATTATATAGCAAAAATCACGGTAATATAATAATGATGTTATTTTAAGGCAACCATGTCACAATAAAATTATGGAGAAGTCACAATAACAAGCGAGTGTCCGCTTTATCACAGGTACGATGTCGCTTTCATCATTATGATAATAGAACAAGATACCATAATCATACAATTCTCATATCACAAAATGGTCTTATGAATATTTTTATTTTAAAATAAATTTAGTTTATTTGGTGCATAGTTTATATTCTTTTATCTCAAAATATATACATATATGTACTTATAAATTGATAATTTTTTTGTTACCTTTTTCAAAATACGTTTACATAATATTCTTATATGAGTCATATAATATTTTTATATACATACATATTATATATATTCTTGTGTAATAGAAAAAAGTAACGCCGTTATCAAGTCGTTATCGAAAGAGTAATGATAACAGCATTATAAGTAATGCGTTACCAACCTTGGGATGCGCAGTGACGAAATCGAGGCACTTAGTTTTCTTCTTTTTGGTTCTTTCGCGTTGCATGCAATCGGAAACTGTGTTTTGAACCACTCCAAGTTGTTATGCAAGTTTTCTTCGCACCTGTGCTGAGTTTTAATTCAGAAGTGCTTGCAACTTCTCATCCTCGATCGTCTCCAGAGCGCGGTCGATCGCTCGCATTGAAGTTTCCTCTTTTATATTTTTCAAACCATTCTTGGCACATTCTTTCTTCCACAAGATTGTCCAACAAAAAATTCTTGTTGCTTTAGTAGTGGTTTCACCGCGATAAAAATAGGAAAACATGTGTAAAGGTTAAATTATTATTATTTCATAATTTAATATCTCAAAATAATAAAATCCAATCAATTAACTATTATGTTTATTTACATATATTATTATACGTGACTAATTATTATAATTATTTTAATATTAGAATAGAAAATATATTTCATTATGATATATTTTAAGATATGTTTATATTTCCCGGTCTTTGGTCAGTTCTATAATTGGTCTGTTCTTTTTCATTGAACTGCTGCACTAATTCAAGAAATTTACACACAATGAAACGTGTAAATATATATATATAAAATCTGATTATGGATGCGTTCGAAGAGACGCTATTTAACGTAAGCGCATCATTCTATCTTTATTACTCTTTACATGTTCAACAAAGATAGAATGATACGGTAGCGCTAAATAATGTCTCTCCGAACACACCTATGAATATCGGCCATATTCTGACTAGAGGTGTTTTACTAAACTCTATCTTCTAGGGACTTTGGCCAAAACCGTTGTACTACCTAACGTACCACCGCTAGATGGCACCACTAATCTTGTGGATAATTTGTTTACCAGGTCTAATTAATTCCATCTTTTATTTTTTATTAATTTAATCAATTAAATATAATCTGTGTGTCAATGATAAGAAAGATAACACGTTTCTTACGATGCAATACAGTATAAAATATTTTTATTTTTATGAAATAATAAATATAAAATCAATATTTATATATCATATATAAAATCAATGTTTATATGTTAATTATCACCAATAAGATTTCTGGTATTATTTTTCTGATATTATTTATTGAAATATGAATGCACAAATATAAAAAAATTCTAGGAAAAGTTGCTATATATAATATAATTCCTATTCGCAAAAAAGTTATTGTTCATTGTCACAACGATAAATTAAATCAATTTACTGCAACACTCCACACCGACTCATTCACATAACAATAAAAACAATGCTAAGTGGACTGTTCCACTGAGGAGGAAGCATGTGGGAAGGAAATTGCCTGAAATGTCCGAACTGCCAAGCGGAACGTACTCCGTTTGACAGCACATGGTCCACTGTATGTCAAAGATGGCGACGAAGAGTGACAGGAAGCGCAAAGCGGGCGAGAAACCGGCACACGAGAGCTCCGCTTTTTATCATTTGCTTGTAACTTTTCTGGGTAATGACATTTGCGATTCGTGCGCGAGGAGGCCGTGCCGTCTGTTTGGTCGACAAGCTAAAGAATCGGCGGGTCGTTTGACAGCAAAATAATTCTTGCTCCGACTCCTACAGGTTTAAGTTTCGGTTACCTGCACAATCTGCACGTATCCACGCTGTTCGAGAATGACCGGCACTTTTCTCACCTTTCGGAAATCGAGCGCGAAATGTCCTTTAGGACTGAAATGGTACGACAGTAGGTGACGATACTTTACCTATTTATAGCTTGCCCTGCTGCGTTACCACTGTAACTTCTCTTGATGTCTTCCTTTCTTTTAGGGTATGTATTATTCCTATTACAAGACCATTGCCGAGTCGAGAGACTTCTTTGAAGGAATGGACAAGCTCAGTCACGACAATCTGTCTGAATATGGAAACGTCATCGACGCTACCAGAAAGTACAGTCTTTTGCCTGAGGTAACTGTGTGCTTCTCACCTTAATGTAAATTCAACGACACTTCCTACTGTTATTCTTTGTACAGATCGTGATAGGCTTCCTGTATCACGCTGCGAGGAATTTTGGCGTTATATCTCAGGAGCAATGTTGGGTGGTAAGACTCACAGGACCTCTTTACGGAAAGCCAAGACGATTCTCAGGATTAATTTGCTGTTTTGCAGATAGAGAGAGGAGACGGACTGTCGCATGTGACCAGCTGCGAAGGTCTCGGTGTGCCTGTGTACTTCTACTTGGAGGTAGTCTGGTTGACCACGATGTTTACAGCGGCGATGCTCTTTTATTACGCGACTTACTTAAGCGACTCCATTTACGGCGGACTCGTGGCGATCCTCTTCTTCTTCTTCAACCACAACGAATGCACCCGCGTGCAGTGGACGCCGCCGTTACGAGAGACTTTCGCGTATCCCATGTTGCTCTTCGAGATGTATAGTGTCACCTTGGCAATTAAAAAGTACGCCAAACACGACTCGGACAAGGAGCCGTCCTGGTTGAAGGGCAGAACTAGACAAGGATTGTTCGTGGTAATTTACAAAGAAACGTTCTTTTTATTTCTTATATAGAGTGTTTCGAAAAAGGGCTAGCTATATACAGCAGTGTAGGATACGTCAGTGCAAGCAAAAAAGTTGATGTAAACTTAGTGTCAAAAACAAGCTCGACTGATTAAGGCCGTGTAAAAATTACGAGAAGAATATTTGTTATAATTGACTCTGGTTTCGATACTGTTAGATATTATAGATTTGTTTCCTATTTTTAAACTAATACACCAGTTCAGGAATAAAGTTCAGAAAATAGATCTTACCCAGATAGCCGAACCTGGGCAAACATATTCTGAACAGAGGCTGCTACAAGTTTTTGATGCCAGAAAGACAACAGATCCAGTCACAGAAACTGCTTCTTCTGATAATGTCGCCAAACTGCCGCCAGAAATGTGACATAATTTCGAACCAGCGCCTGATAACACAAAAATTCTCGTCTTTGCACAGCCTTAACGAGAGTTAGGCGCTACGTTAATACGAACTATTTTGTTTGCATTGATTCATTCTATACGCACGCAAAGCTAGTCCACCTTTCTCGAAACGCCCTGTATACGAAGACCGCGTTCTCGCTAGAGCGATTTTGCTCCCGCAGGACATATTCGGCTCGACGATCTGCAGCTTGTGCACCTGGCAATTCTCGCACTTCGTGTTCGTCACGCAGATCATAGCGCTGCTGATACTCAAATGGTTGAGGATCATTCCGTACGACTTCTACAAGAACTTCTGCATGACCCACGCGTTAGCCATCGCGGCGGCGACCAACATAACGAACGGCACTCTCATAGTGTCCTCGCTCTACATGTGCCTCTTGATCAGCAGCAAAGTGGCCAGCCTGATCATGAAGTTGTCCCGGTTCCAGAACACCAAGCGGGAAGTCATACTCGAGATCGCGATGACGGTCATCTTCACCAAGTGGATCAAGTCCTACGTCCTGTATTCCCAGGACGACGCCCACGTGTTCAACATACTGAAGTCGAAGTTGACGGACTACCGGGACTTCCACACGATGCTCTACACCTGCTCGGCGGAATTCGACTTTTTGCAGTACAAGACGTACGAGGTGATCGTGAAGACTTTGCTGTTGCCAACGGCGATACTCGCCGGGATGCTCGCGCTCTACTATTGGTACCGAAGCTTCAAGACCGGCGATTATCCGCGCTGCATAGAGGCCGACGTGGCGTATAACGGCTTGCAAACCGGCGCATTCATCGTCATGGCGGTTTTCATTATGAGACTGAAGCTCTTTATGACGCCGCATCTCTGCATCATCGCCGGCGTGGTCTGCAGCAAACGGTACCTGGAAAAAGTCGGCCTGAGGAGCGAGCTGGCGCGTGCCGCCGTCATTTTTCTTCTGGTGAGCGGCATGTCGTACCACGGTATCGATCGATTCCAGCAGGAGCGCGGATTTGTAGGTGAATACGGCAGGTTCAGTCGTCGATCGATTCGTGCATCCTTCCGAATGTCTAATAATCTTCCACTTCGTCCGTTTTTCACGCAGGCGAATACAGCAACATCGAGCAGGAGGAATTGTTCGAATGGATCAAGAGTAACACGCCGAAGCACGCCGTATTCGCGGGGAAGATGTCGTTGATGGCGAACCTGATGCTGTCCACCGGAAGACCGATCGTTAACAATCCTTATTATGAGAGCAAGGAAATGAGGTGCGTGTTCCGATTCAACCAAGGGCCTTCGCACACAGATCGCCGTAATCGTGAACGTAAAAATAAACTTAAACCGAGGAACCAGGCCTTCGAACGATGCGCCCGTGCAGAATAACGTATTCACTAGTGCGAACATTACAGAGATCGAACCATGAAGATCTACGAGATCTTCAGTCGGAAGGACGCCGCCTCCGTGTACACGTCTCTGAGAAACATGAAGGTCGGCTACGTCGTGTTGGAGGAGCCGCTGTGCCTTGGATTCGCGAATCTGTAAGTTCGGACGAAGCCACACGCTGAGCCGGCGACAACGGTTGCGTAACGTCGAATTTCATCTCCGTTCCAGGCCGCGTGGATGCCAAATGATCGATTTATGGGACGTGGCGGATAATGGGACGTCGAGAGCGGCAAACAGGCCGCCACTGTGTCCCCTGCTGTTCCAAGGGAACGCTTATCCGTTCAAGCGAGCGTTCGTTAACAGCAATTACGTCGTGCTGCAGCTGGACTACTCGCACTACGTGGAGTTCAAGCCAAAGACTTCCATGCCACTGTACCATCAGTTCTAGATGAACGTCGCCCCCTCGAACAATACGGGATTTACCTCGTGAGACTGTAAAGAAACTTATTTTTTTTAAAGCGAAAGAGAATTATGTATATGAAGAAATCTATCTCTATCTATATATATATATTATGTATACATACATATACATATATATACATATTATTTATATATATATATATATAATGTATACATATATATATTTTTTTTAATACAGAGATTCGCGCGCGTGCGAGTTCAATGTTGACGTCGCGCGATCTCCGCGAAGTCTATCCGTAGATTTGTACATATTGTAGTCTGTGAAGGGGCATTCAGGTATTTTAAAACGCGCACATACACACACATACACACAGATGTTTCTAGGATTACGCAACGGAACCAATGTATATTGTTTACTCTTTCATAAGAAGAATCTTCCTCCGATCTCGGAAATTTCTTGAATCTTCGTTCTTTATTTCAATGTTCACGGAACATTGTTCCAATGCAGCTAGTGTATCGCGTTCAATATCGGCGAAACATGAGAGTTCCGTACCTTGAAACACACACACACACAGCTATTTAACTTGCTAAATGCCACGATAATGGAAACGATACGCCGTTTTTCGTCTCGAGTGACGAAGAACGCGCAAGATAATGCCTCGTTTCACAACGTGATGTACACACTTGTGATAATTTCCCTATACTTAAGAGAGACGCGTCTGTCGACTCGCCCGATCTTCGGCGGAAAGCGAGCGACTCTCGAAGATCCGTAATTGTTACAAACCCGATCGTCGTGTTCATGCGTGACCCCGCTGTAAAGAAAAAATACGAAGTAGCGCAAAGAGAAGCATCTGTGCCAACGGCCAATATATGTCTCGCTACCTATTTATACACACAAATCTATTCCCTCGCGCGCATTTCAATAAATTTCCTATTTCATCGATTAACGGCATCCTCTCTCGCAGCACACGCATACCGGACAATAAATCCCTGCTGTCTCGCGTCGGAATCGCGCTCGTTAGATCGCACACACCCGTCTACTTAATCGTACCGTACATGACCATGTATGAATGTTTTATCATAAGTTTTTTTTTTTTTTTTTTTTTTTTTCCAATAAAGTGATTACAGATATGTGTAAAAATGCGAAAAAAAATCATTGTCGTCGCGCGTGTCGTCGAACGCTCGTTCGTTCGTCCGCAAGACCGACAATTTCAGGCCCTCCTATCGAATAGTGGATTCGAGATTACGCGGCTCGAAAATCCGCGTTTCTGGCTGGCTTTCCGCGCGAATGATCTCAGGTGCGCGGGGGATGCCCCGGAAGAAAAATCGAAGCGCGCGGCGAAGATAGCTCCGTTATAACGCGCGTAGCACCTTCTCTCCGGAGCTGTGTAACAGATAGTATAGTCGAGAGGCAGCAGCCTTTGGTATACTACGTTGTGCCGCTGACCCAAATGAATCCTGGCCGCCAGTCAGTCCCGCTCCGGGCTTCTTCGCGGCATTATTGCTCGCTCGGCGTTCTCCGCGCTCGGACCCGGTGATCTGTCAATTCTCCCTTTTCTCCCTTTTTCGAGCGTCGACGACCGTGGAGGACCCGGGAACGCCGAGGTGCTCTAGCGGCCGTTCTCGTACCGCCGCTCCACCCTCGCGATCGCGTCAAATTTTGCCGCGTTGTGACCGCTTGTGACGCGCAGTGCCGATTGTTGTTAATTTCGCCGGGCTCGGCTGATTCGGGGATCCGAAAGCTCGCGGGAATCTCTTCGTTTCGAACGTCCTCGATCCACGTCGATCGATCTCGCAATCTGAATCGGCGTAGCTCGGGGAGGACGAATCATTCCTCCCGCCCGAGCTGGTGCTATCGTGCGTGCTAAAACGGTGCCGCTGTTCGTCCGCGAGTGAAGGCACTCTCCGGGTTTACACGGCTCCACCAGCTGCCGCTCGTCAAAGAGAGAAGCAACGCGGAAAGACGGCCGATCTGAAAATACACATCCAGCGGACACCGTGGATCGAGCAGGAGCGGCCGTGCAGAATGTGAGAGGGTGTCGATGCCAGAGAGTGCGAGAAGAGTTCGCAGGACACCGCCAGGACACCACCGGCCCCCTATTCGTCCGGAGCGCGCGCATCCTGTGGCAGCCGGGCTCGTCCTAGCGATGCGACATTCCACGCTGCTCCCGCATAGTCATTGACAATCGGCAGTAAGTAAAAAGAGACACAGAGAGGGAGATAATAAATAAACAAATAGGAGATGTTACGATCAAAATACAAGCGAGAGATATCCTGAGTCGAAATATATTTCAGTGCTACGTTAAGTTAGGTAGTTCTGCATTAAGTCTTCAAGTGGAGAAGACGGAAATAACTTTCTATTTGTAGCATCAAAGGAGCATTATTAGTGGACAGAGAGAAAGAGAGAGAATAAATAAGCGAATGAGAGATATTACGATCAAAATATAAGTGAAAGATATCCCGAGTCGAAATTTTAGTTCCACCTTGAGTCTTAGTTCTACATTAAGTCTTCGAGCGGAGAAAACGGAAATAACTTTCCATTTGTAGCATCAAAGGAGCACAGAAAAAGGCCCAGTGAAGACTCAACGTACTAAAATTTCGACTCGGTGTTCGTTGCAATTTTTACGTATTAGCAAGATCGCGCTGTTCAGATATTATTTTCACCTCAATTGTCGGGAGAGACGCAGAATCGCAAGTTACATAAGTTACTACGTAAATACAGGACGCGCGAGTGACGCGGTTGAAATTTTCAATTCTTTTCCTTCTTTCTCTCCCCGGGAGGCGATCCGATTGCGTTTCTCGGTGTCTCGAAATAACGATCTATTCCGCTGCTCTTTTTCTAATTTCCGACTGGCCGGCTCGGGGCACGGCGGAACGTCAAGGACGTGTCTTCCTCGCGTCCTTGCGTCGGTTTATGGACGGTGCATTAATTCGCTCAATGAGCATAACAATGTAAATGCAGCCCTCAATCAGATACACCGCCCGTACACCGTCCCCCGTTAACCCCCCGTCTCGTAGTACCGCAATTTCACGGTAATACTCGCTCCACTATTGCGGGATATTATATCTGCAATTGCCGGTACACATGCTAAATTTCGAATTTGTAGCGCGCGCGCTTTTACGCGCGACTCCGCTATGGAAGGCGTGTAATTTGTAAGCGCGTAATCTACATTTGCATCGGAATCCGACGCGTAATGTAGATAGCGAGAAAAAGAGAGAGAGAGAGAGAGAGACCTGTTCTAGTTGCACAACTACGCGAACGCGATTCGTGAGGCGTACGCGCTAATGTCGGCAAATCCGGACCCGCCCGAATTCGCGAATGAGGTCGAGTCTCCCGATCGACGGAAGATTCGCGTCTCCCGCGCTCAAAACGAGAAAAGTAACTGTACAAGAGACGCGCGAGAATAAGGGAGTAGGCATGCGTTCCTCGCGGTCCCGTTTCTCACCGTTGTAAATCGAGTCGCGACGTTATATCGAGCGGCGATATCGGTAGCAGAAGCTTCGTAATACCGCGTAAAACCCGTTCCTCTCTGGCCTCGAAACCGCCGCGCGCTCGCTCGGTCGTCGGATCGGGTTTAGGAATTTGGCACATACCGAGTTAGGAACACTTCTCTCACGGCGACTCGCTCGGAGCGAATAGATGCGGAAGGGGATCGCGGATGAAAATGCAGACGAGCGAAAAATTCGCCGGTTTGCCGCGAAATGTAGTCATTAAACTACCGGCGGTCGGGGATTATTCTTTCGGCCCTTTCCATTTATTCTCTCCGGCGAATTTGAAATTATTCGGGAGAAATTGTTTGCTTACACTCCCAGAGAAAGTCCGGCCGAGTCGACATATTCATTCTGCAATCATTTTCTCCGCGAGTAATTTTGTTTTTTACCTGCCAGCCGCAGGAGGCATACCGCGCGCGCGCGCGCGCGTAGACTTTTAATCGTAAGGAAGAATTTCGATCGTACCCGAGCGAATGTACGCGCCTAATCGCGGCGAGCGGAGCGACAGATCGACGGTGTCGGTTACTTTCTCAAAGCACGTTCGTATTCGTAACCTACTTCGAACCGGCGATGCAGTAACCGGGTGCAGACGGCAGGACGGTGTCCGTGCCAAGACTCGAATTAGAAAGATCTAATTCGTCAGCCTCGGCCACGGTACTCGGTACCTAGTTCACGTTTCTATAACGCAGTAATGATATTCTCGTACCGCACGGGAATCAATTGCGAACTAAAGAAAAATCGAACTGAAATTTACTCGGAGAGATTACACTTCTGATATTGAATGGTAGGAGATTCAATGCCCAGTAAGCAAGAAACATGAGATCTTTTGAAAAATGGATTTTATATGGATTCTATAAATATCTTATGAATTATGTGTTATTTAAAGTGTTATTTGATGATATAATATTCCTAAGTACGAAAATCGTAACGTAGAAATATTATTTTCAACGTTTGGGTCAAATATTGTTCACAATGACATGCACATCATTACATATTTGAAAACGTTACATGTTCATCAAGATATCATTGCAATAACGTGCGTTAATTATGTCTTGCTTACTGGGCAAGCACTAATGGTAACATTACATTACAATTTAACTGTTACATACAACGCATGTTATATTGCGCTTACATTGTTGAGTGAGAGTTGAGTTATAACATTGATATAATATTATTATTAGTTGATGTTTACTGGGGAAACAAATTTGCGTAGCAAAAGATGAAGGAAGATATTACAGATTGGAAAAATTCGGAAAAAACGGAAACCTGGTTTCGAGATAAATTCAAATAAGTTCATTTGATTTTTTAACATTCGAGCGCCACGAAAAATAAAATATCGTCGATCTGCATTTCGTTGCAAATAACATAAGTGTGAAGTCTCCAGCTCGTAAAGAGATAAGATGAACGACCGACGAGGCCAGAAAAGCAGGAAAGCCTAAGTCGGAAACTCATTTCACGCCGAATGAAACTCAGTAATCTCGGGAATCAAAGTTTTCACAAGACCGGCCGCACCCCCGTCGATTTACCTGTCTTTGTTACCTGCCCGCCGGGTGGTCCCGGCGCCTCGTTGAGGAACCGTGAAATGTAATCGCAAGGTGGAGGCCGTCGTCAGACTCTCGCCGGCATTCTTTCGGAATCGGTTCGTGCGTGTGAAGCGAACGAGCGAGAAAGAAAGAGAGAGAAAGAGAGAGATGGGCCAAACCGGTGAAAGGAGGGGGAGGCGCGGATAATGGGCGGTTTGTCGTCAAAGTTTCGCATGACCGAGTTAGAGCACGATCCAGCTGGAGGACGGAGCATCGTAGCGATGAACACGGGATCGTGTGTGGGCGCCGCGCGTCCAACGCGTCAGTTCGCGCTAATTAAATGAAGGCCACAATCATAAACGTAATTCCGCTCTGTTGTTTTATCGTGTGCGCGTCGCGAATGCAAAGGCGCGCGCTCGCTCGCCGTAGTGTCGTGTGCGCGCGTTGAAGTCACTGCGCTCGCGGCATTCGGCCGCGCCGCTCTTCCGCGTCAACACGCTCACGCACGGCGTACGGGACCGCCCGACACCTGACGATACTTCAAGGGGAGGAACGGGTCTTCGAGGCTGACTTCTGCCGGCCGAAGACACGCGGAAGTCGCCGGTCGGAGATGGCTCTTTAATTTCCAACCGCCGAGAGGACATCGGGGGCTTTTCGAAAGAGTCGAAAGAACCGCGCGCGCGAACGGCCGCGACAGAATTCGAGCTGGCCGAGAGGCAGGCGTGTAAAGTGGGTTGTACGTGCGATTTGAGGCTGCGCAACCGCGGTCGTTCGCCGTGGAAAATAATCGGGCTTGATTATTCAACGACGGATTAAAATCGGGATGCGATAGCGATAGTGAGAAAGAGAGAGAAAGATAGCGTAACTCAAGCGCTCCGGGAAAAGAAACCTCTCAAGCGCTAAAAATTAGGTAGAAGAAAATTCATAAAATGACGTTACGATAAAAATAAAGGCGGATATCACACACATACAAAGTACAAATCAAAAATAGTAATAAAAAATGATAAGCACGCATGAAGGGCGGAAGCAAGGCAAGAATCGACGTGACGATGCAAACCAGTATAAAAAGAAAAGATGAAATTAATTGTATAGAGGTTATCTTAATAGAAAGAGGAGATTGGTTTCCAATTTGAGGTCAAGGTAAAAGAAGCTTACATATCGAGCTGTAAGAGGCTCCACGTTCTAATAAAAAGTTATAGCAACCAGTTTTGAGAGAAAGAGGGAGAGCGGGAGAGATGTACCTGCGTATATAAATGCTTTAATGACCGCTCTAGAGTTGAATCCTCCAAGAAGGTTACAACATGTACTTTTTAGTATTACAAGTTTTACAAAAGGAAAAAAAATTGGATGTTTCAGATCGATTTGTAGTTTGTAAAAAAATTTGTTCGGACGGTAGCGCAAGAAGTAATTACAATTTGCTAGTCGCATTAGTCTATTTGGTTTAGCGGCGCAACTCTCTATGAGAAATACAAATGCGTACAAATTTAACTCTTTGCACTCGAGGGCTCCGGAGCGGAGCCATTTAAAATTTGTCTTCAAACTCTTGAAACTCAAATGCAAATAGCAAGAGCGGAATATCCTATACACAATAATTTTTACGATTTGTCTTTGTCCTTATGTTATGAACTGAAAGTTATTTGCATTTTCTCCATAGCGGAGCCCTCGAGTTTGAAGACAAATTTTTAATGGCTCCGCTCCGGAGCCCTCGAGTGCAAAGGGTTAATAAGCCTGATTAATCCACGTCAAGTCGGCGCAAGTACGAATGTAAATACGAATGTTCTCTTTTAAAAGAGCTTAGAGTTCCAGTTTTTCCAAGCCTTTCAGGAAGAGAGAGAGAGAAAGAGAGAGAGATACAATGCGGGTTGCGTTTTACTTGCACAATACTTTAACTATGTTACCAGGTGCAATCGTGAACGATACTTATTAAGTGGAAAGCTATCTCCCGCTTAGTCTACACGCTATTTAACCGATCGGTTTCTAAACTTGCCGGACTTTCGTCGATTTCATTCCCCACTCGCCGTCGCGGAGCGCGCGACGTTCGCAGTTAAATGTGCATCTCGAAAAAAATAGAAAGATACTCGTGAACCGCACGATCACCCGATATGGCACGCTGTCCCATATTTACGCAGGCAGCAGTCTAACCGCGAATGATGCTGCATCATCGTGAACGCGGTAGA